CACTGAGCAGTTTGCTTCCTTTTAGTTAAAGTTCTCTTCACCAAGATGTGAGCAGCTGGTTTTCCATTGCAGTTTTGCACAATGTAGAAGCTATTTTTAAGAAAATAATTCTGTGTTCTCTCCTCTCGTGGTACCATTTCAATTAAATTTGACAATAGATCTCCAGCAGTCCTCTTTCTGGCTCTGGCATGATAGACGGGCAAAAAAAGTGTTTCCGTTTCACTTATGTGAAATAATGCTTTGTCTAATAGTCTAAAACCACCCATAATTTTTTTGCGACATTTGAAAGTTTTTTGGGAATTTATGTTTTTCCATTCCTTGTTTTTAAGTTTGCTATTTCAAAATGCACCTGAAGCAGGTTAATTGAAACACGGCTAGTGACGCACTAGAAAAACGAGACTTTTGCTTTTAACAGCACATATATATTTTGCAATTTAATCCTCAAACTCTTGTTTCCACTGCTCAGATAGTGTGTCTTCAGGAATGCAGGCAAAATTAAAGGCACTCCACAGTAATTTGTTTTACTGGTGTTATTTGTGAGAGCTGAGTGAGTCCAAATCGTTATTCTACAGAGAAAAAGCAAGAGCTGGGAGTTACTATGAAAAATAAGGAGAAAAATAGCAATAGAACAACATGCTAACACTAACTAACTAACATGTTTTAAGATTACATACGTTACACAAGATCTTTGTGTATATAAATTAATGTTTCTCAGCCCTGGCCAGATGCATGATGCATGTGAGAACACATTATTACCATCTGTGAAGGCAGGGCTTGTATTGTTTTCACCTTGTGAGGCTGTGTGTGTGTGTGTGTGTGTGTGTCATCATGGCAAAACGTTGACACCTTCTGTAGCGGGAAGTGTTACAGAGGCATTATTGCGTACATTGGCAGCTGTTTAGATATGTCTGTGGACAGATTTTGTCTTTGTGATAGCATTGCAACCACGCAAGATACAATCATGAAGCTTTGCAGGAGTGCAGTTGACGTCAGAATGTCAATGTGTTGATGGGTGTTGTGACTGGTGGGATCCCATCACAAGATGGAGTTTTATTTTATTTTTATTTCATTTATTCAATAGGGACAATGTGCAATATCGTTACTGCAGGAATTACCTTCCTGACTCCAGGAGTGTAATGCTTAAACAAGTGCATGCATTTGGCTAACATTGATCTTTTAGCTACATTTAAATATGTAATAACTGATTTCTGGAGGGCATCAACATTTAAGTTGATATATGGTGAGCTTACTAGCAAAGGGTTGCTTATTAACACATCAAGCAGCAGATATGAAGCAACATTAGCAGACTAAGTCCAGTATAAAAAGCCAACTGCTGCACTGATAACAGTTGTAGAAGTGAACCAAACCCCAAAAAACAAAATCAGCTGAGCTGGCAGATGCTGAAATGCACCATAGAGCTGAGAGGAACTGTAGATAATCATCTGCGGGTTTGCCGCTACCAGCAACCCCTGTCACGTACATGTTATCCATTGTTACTATGAAAATATTGATTATAGCAGCTGTAAACCATAGTTTTAAACAGCCATGTGCAGCCACTGTTAAAACTACTTTTTGTAAGTTTTTGAATCAAGTTCCATCTGCTCTCAGCTCTCTCTGAACAGTTATCCTCCTGACTTAGTTTCTTACTCTCCAACTTTCTGTAAAATTTATACATCTATCCACTTATTCCCACGGATGCCTCTCATAGTCCGAGGGAAGCTGCCAAGCAACTGCAGATGAGCAATTATTAACATGGGTAAACACAGAGGCAGATGTTTGAACCAAGAACAGAGACACATGTATTAACACAAACAGTGATGTCAGACAGAGAGAAAAAGGCCAAGACGGTGCATAAGAGAGAATTACAGAGAGATTTGTGATCCTTGCCCATCAATAGGTTTTTACCATTCTTCACTTGTGGTGAGAGACGGGGTCTACAGCTGGGGGTGGCTTGGTCTCCATGGAAACTGACATTCCCTTGAAGGTACTTGGCAGCCACTGCCAATTGTTGAGCCTGGGTAATGGTTCAAAATTCTCCGTAAAGTGCCTCAGAGGTTGAGATTAAATTCAACCTGCTCGAGGCAGACTCACGCAGTGACTAATCACACCGTTTTACACAGATGGAAAGACAGAGCAGACAGGGAAATATGTCACTGTCAAATGTTTAGCTTAGCATTTTTCTGTTCTTGGCTGCAGGTCACTCTATAGAATATCACTTTTCATTCAATAAAAAGACACTTTTAGCGTTTCTAGTCACTGATTTCTTTTATATCCATGGTAGGAGAGGGGGACCCAATCATTATCACAGTATTCACTTTGATTCAGTCCTGCACTGCTGTTCCATCAAGCTGGTTATACATTCCTTATTCCGTCATTCCTATTCAGAGGCAGCAACATTTTCTTTATGTCAGATATATTAACTGTTAAAATAACAGCATGTGCAGCACCTGTTTTTCTCTGTTAGTTCTGCACTCCCTCTGCCTCCCTCTTTCCCATGAGCCTTTGCTCCAGCTGGCAGACAGATCTGAATGAAAGTGGTCAGGCACCACTGATGAAATGATTGCTTCTCTGCATCTCCAAGTGCAGAAGACTTTAGCTGTACGTGGCAGGTAGTCTGAAAGCCTGCTGCTGATGGGTCTGTGAATGTCAGCAGGTGAAAAGGATCAGCCAGGGGAAGTGTCAGCCTCACATGCCCATGCCACCAGCTGTTTTTTAACCACTGAATGCATCATTGAGAACCTTTAGTTGATTTGGAATCGTAATTGTAAATATGGGTTTACATAAATAAAGACAAGGTATTTTTTCTTAGTGAGTTTGGCCTACTGCTGTTGAATTTGACCTTGTCACACATGAAGGGGACATAATAGGATTCTCCATTCAGCAAGTGCATGACTGTACGTTTCCAATATTATAAGCACTTAGCTCTCTACAAATGATATTTGGACTGGGAACATGAAACAGCAATACTGAGACATTTCTCAAGCAAAATAGGCACCATAAATACAAATGCACTGCATGCTATGTGTGAAATATAGTGTTTGAGATGAGAATTGGTCCTGTGATATGACTGTATGTGGTATGCATTTTTGTGGATGCATAAACCCAGACATGAACTTGCACATAAACAAACTAGCACAGACATAGTTTGTGTGTGTGTGCGCATGCGTGTGCGTGTGCATGCGTGTGTGCGTGCGTGTGTGCGTGTGTGCATGTGTGTGTCAGTAGCAGATTGTGAAGCTTATTTGTATGCCACAGCAGCCCCTGTTGTTTCCAAGGCTCCTGTATCCTGGGTGGTCAGTCTGAGAGAATCAAAGGTTTTCAGCAAGGGACAGATCGTAACTGCCAGTGTCTCCTCCTTTCACAATACTGTGAATGGAACTACAGTGAGGGAGAAAGAAGTACTGTTTTGCATGAAAAGAAAAGAGACTGACTGAAATCGAAAAGTATATCAAATACTAGTTTATTTGCTGCTCTTACAACACAGAAGATCTGAGTAAAAGTCCAGAGTCTTGAGACAGCACTGTAATCTACGAAAGTAAAGAGACAGAAACTCACAAAATTGTCCCCGTCCCCCCCCCCCCCCGGAAGAAGCCATTTCAAGTGGTTGCATGCAAGCAAAAAGCTTTTTATCACTGATGGTAACACTGAAAGCACTTTCAGTGAAGGTGAAGTTTCTTAGACACTCTCTGCAGCTTAGCTAAATGTCACTGATCAATCTGCAGCCAGCACCGGACCATCCCACTGAGCAGATCCTGTTATCAGACAGCAGATGTAGCTGGCATCTGTTAGCACATGTACAATTCAACTAGACGACAGGTTTTTTCATCCAGCAGACATGAGCTGGTTGGTTCCAGTGCATCGGCTCCAGACTGGAAACCAGTAATTGAGGGCAGAGTGGTTTTGGGAATTGGGGAGAAAATGTTATTTTTGGGGAATTTACTACTGGCAGTGTTGGTGGGCACGGTTTGGCACTGGGAGGCATATTAAACATTCATTTAAAGTGAATCCATTATTTATGATGTATAAAATGAAAATGCAAGCGTATATGGCCAGCGAGCATTACCAAACCTCTTATGTAACAATGTGTTTAATGTGCCCTCAGAAAAATCTCCAACACTCTTTATTCTAAAACATTGTAACGTTGTATGCTGCTCCCACACTGGTGCATTCAGCTATGAGCAGAAGTGAAATACGTTGATTGCTGCTAATTGTAATAACGACGGCATAGTAAAGATGATATTGGCACACTGTCAGATGCAAGTCAATGGAGTCACATCCAGCTGCCGTGTGATTTTATTTTTCCTGGTAGAGAAAGAAAAAAAAACCCATTAGTTTAGGTGCTAAAGCAGATGATGATGATGGAAAGACCTTTTTGCATAAACGCTCAGAAGACAAGGTGATGATGCAAAGCTTTGGTACTGGTTTGCAATCTGAGTAATGTCGGATAAGTTCCTGTGTGTGTTGCAGACATGCAGACATAGCATGTATTTACCACATGTGAATGATGACTCTTTTTTTTTTGTGGATATGCATCCATGCACAATAATTACTTCATGCTCACTGCCAGGGAAGGATTTAATTAACCGTCCCCTGTCAGGGTAGATAATTAGTCAATAATGTACACACACACACACACACACACACACACACTCTCACTCTCACTCTCTCTCTCTCTCTCTCTCTCTCTTATACACACACAGGATAAGTCAATATGTTTGCCATCCCAACACTAATGTTAAGACTAGAATGTTCTAACAATTTGCTGTTTAAAAGTACAAGTCTTGAGTGACACACCTCAATAGGCAATTACAGAGGAGTATTGAGAAAAGCTGCAGACAAGAACTGAGCATGGTATGTGTTCTGTCCACCTACAGAGAGAAGCTAATGTTGATTTTTGTTTAAATTGCTTCATCAGTGTGGTAGCACAGCGTATGATCTGCACAGCCTGGCTTTCAGAACAAAACAGTAATTATGTTTTCCTCTCCTTCTTTTTTTTGCAGGTTCAAGGTTTGATCTACACACAGGGAAAGGTAAAAAAAAAGTCTTTCACTTACTTCCAAATCTCTTAGTCTCTTAGCTCTTTCTCTACTTTATTTTCTGTGCATGTGGGGGGGGGGCAGGATGATTAGCTGGCATTAGACTGTATCTGCAGTTGTGTGTGTTCAGGTTGTGTGTGGATGGATATAGAGGAATTATTGGGGGGATTTGTGAACCAGTTTGTTGTTGTTTTTACTGCAGGCTCACACCCACAGTTAGTGCATAAGGCTGTTGTCCTAATCACAGTGAACATATAATGTGGATTCAGGGTGTCTTATGGTATCAGTCATCATAATCACACACAAACACAGAACATGTAGGCCTACTTAAATACTCCAGCACACATGCATCTGCTACTACTGCAAAAAGAAGTTTTTCTTTATGTCCCACATTTTGTCTCCACATGAATGCCATCTGTGAGATGCTAATGGTTGTTTTGGAAAATTATTACTTGAATTACTTTAAGTGTCTTAAAAGGCCATGCGTGTTCTGCATGTGTAAGGTTGTGACTCGACAGGATGTCTCTTCCAAATGATTTTGATAAACACAAAAGTACATCAGCACTTTGCCTATTTAGCTGTTGTCTAGGACGACATTTATCACTGTTTTTTTTTCTATGGTTTTGCCATCTAGGCAGCATTTTATCATCATGGTGATGGTGGACCTACAGCTCTTTTTGGTCTATTTCTGGCAGATGGAGTCTGTAACGGTTTATGTCTGTGGCCTTCCCTCTGTAGATCCCAAAGTATTTTAGTCCAGAATAATCCCCACCATCTGCTGTCTCCTCTACTACGTTTTAGCTTTCAGTATCTTTCCCTCTATCTGTCACTCTAGTTTATTTCCTGTGGCATTTCCTCTTTCTGTTTTCTCTGTATTTCTTCTCCGATCCCTCTCAGCTGGAACTTTTATTGTGATGCCCCTCTTCCTCTCCTATTCAGTCTCTCAATCTCCATCACTTTTCATTTCTGTACTCCACTAAATCTCAATCTCTTGGCTCCTCTTTTCTCGTGGATCTTAATTTTCTTCCTCTTTCCTCCCATCCTCTTTTCTATGATCTCTTCATCATGACTTCCTCATGCTTCCTTTTAATATCTGCTTTTTGTCTGTCTTGTCTTAAATCTCTGGATGTCTCTACACACTCTGCTCCTCAGTGTTTCCCTCTTTATCCCCCTCTCCGTCCACACATACACGCCCATGCCAACCACTCTCCACAAATCCTAATCTGGGCTTCATGAACACAGACTATACCCCCCAGTTTCCTATTTGAAAGTATTAAAAATCCTCTCCATTAGGAATGCATGGACATACAGTATATGTGCATTGTTCCAGAAAAACTACTTTTCCGGTTGCACCAGCTATTTGTAAATCCATCCCTAAGGTTGTGTCTAAAGGATTCCTAAAGTCTTAGGAACTACTAGCTAGTGATTGGGTCGTACCATTCAAACTCGAGGAATGTTTTCTTAGCTGGTAATGAGTAATTTCCAATGCTAGAAAACATTTGTAGCATTATCCAATCAGAAGCAATTAACTGCATCAAACATTTATGTAGCATCATGTAATTCAAGTTAATATCTTTCCAGTTTATATCATCACCAATCTTCCCTAAAGATGTAGTGCTCTTCAGAGGGCATATTATAACCTCTTGTAAACGCAATGATGGCTGAAGCACCACTCGCTCCTCCCGGCAAGAAACCACGTTCGGCGTAAGAGAAAACTTCCAAATAGCCTTTAACAGTCTTGTCAGACTTATATCAGCAAGCTAGTTCTGTAAATTGGTTCACTTAGCTATAAAACACCGGGGAATTATTAATATTAAGTAACAAATATCTATTGAAGAACTCATCTGTGCGGTGCAACTCTTGTGTAAATCTGTATTTAATAGAGACTTATTTTATAACTAGACCAACAGCAGTAGAGCCAGAAACAACCAACAAACTTCGTGCTATCCACGCTACTGACCAAATGTAGATCATTACATTAACACAGGCTGCTGGCTTATTCACAATGCAGTTCCTTGTAAAGGATTGAGAAGTTTATAACAGAAAAAAAACAATCAAATTACGACTTATTGGTCAGAGACACAGTTTCTCACTGTTCATTAGCTTTGGGTTGCTCAAATGTGTTTGACCATACCTACGCCATACCTGAGAAATCAACAGATTTTCAAAGTAAAATGTGTATTGCATTATTTTGTCCTGTGAAACACATTCTAATCCAAATTTATTTTGACAGCTGAAAATGTCTGTGAGCTGGAAAAACATGAAAAATACACCAACTTGAACAGAAGTAGTTCAGAGAAAAATGGGCTCATGACTGAAATCACAACTGTAAAAAAAAAAAAATGATCTGATTGCTCGGAATTCTCATTTGAAATGTGGAAGGCTCTCATCTTCCCCTACAAGCAACACTCAGGTGCCCAGGGAAAAGGTACTTGACTCTCGGCTGCTCCACTGCAGTTGTTCTGTGGCAACTGGTACATGACTACTGCAGAAATCCTCAAGTGTTTACAACTGTATCCCTTCTCCTTTCCCAAACTGATGCTCTGTAAGTGAGTCTGAGCTTTTTGTCAAATTAATACAACTGAGAACATGACACCAACATGTCACTTAGCACAGAGACACATGCATTTGCAACATTAATGATCTCCTTAGAGAGAAATTCAAGGGATTCAGATGTATTGTGTGTGTCCCTGAGTGGCTCACAACAACAGCAGGGACAAAAAAAAAAAAAAAAAAAAAAATACAGATCAGGTATGACATCAGCACCTCAGCAACATGGTTGTCAGCCATGTACAGCATATCTCTGTACCAGCACACAGCTGGATTAACAATGACTGAATGGATTATTGAGTGTGTGAGTGTGTGTGTGTGTGTGTGTGTGTGTGAAAGGGAGAGACTCAGATAGAGACAGAATGATAAAACATGGTGGTGACTCCTGTGTCAAGTAGGTATTTGATAAAGCCGGATACCTTAAACAGATACTGATAATACCCCGAGATCATCATATTTTGGCTCGACTGCTAATGACGTCACAAAACCACACACTACACATGTACGTGTGAGCTTACACACACACACACACACACACACACACACACACAAACACTGTTCTGAGCAGATCATAGCCTCGTCATCTCGTCACTCCTATCGCTAAATCCATTAGCAATAGGAGTCACAACCTCATCCTCCCCCAATTTCCCCCCCTCTTCCGCTTCCTCTTCTCTCATTCTTTACCAGACAGCCGGTCCCCTATGTGGGACAATTTCTCTTCAAGCTCGTCTGAAAAATGACATGAACAGAGACAGCCGAACAGCGAGATTAAGCATGTAGGTGTTCACAGCCCCGAGGGCACTTGTGGGGTACAGTTTTCTAAGTGGCAGCTAACGAGCCAGCCTCTCATTGTGAGGCTTAAAATGACATATTCATCAGTTCTTACCTTTTCACAGTCCTCTGAGAGAAGACGGTCATGCAAAAGTAGATAAAGATAACTTCTACCACAACACACACATCAGCTAACACACACATCATTAGGTTAAAACATCTGCATCTTGAGGCTTCAGGCTATAGTTGTCCTCTGACAAATTTTTCTTTTGGTAAAAACAAAGAATACTTGATGGTAACGATGATGCTCCTTGAAATATGTCATTTGTCTTTACAGAACACTATAGTCAGTGTGTGTATGTGTGTGTGTATGATAGTAGTGTGATTGCCAGCTGGGCCATTTATGCTAAAATTGCATTCCACTCTGCTGTAAATTGCTTTGGATTGCTGTTGATAGCTACTTTTGCCATTTCCCTAGGAGTCCAATATTAAAATCCACCATGATGTCATTCTTCTACAGCTCTTTCATCCTCACTGCTGCAATGTGTTTCCTGGATTACTGTATTCGAACATCGCGTAAAGCTCTAAGAATGTCAGTAATGAATGTAAGGCATGCAATCTGCTCTACTATTCAAAACGCTCCTAATTGAAATGCTGAAAAAGACAGCTCTGGCTAATCAGCTTAGAGATGTAGTCCACAGTTGACGGATAATAAAGAGGATCTTAGCGCTGAAGAGTCTATTACCACCCCTGTAATGAGAGTTCACATAATATGATCTGAGGACAATGGAGGGATGGAGAAGTTATAGGAGAGAGGGAGTGGCAGGCTGGGAGAAGGGAAAGAAGAGGTGGCTCCCGTTGTTGAAATAAAAGAGGGTTCAAAAAGGGAAGCATCACATCAAAGGGGCTGAACACCTATTTGGAGAAATTAGTTTAAAGTGCAGGTTTTAAAGGTAGTGATGAGTGTGTGTGTGTGTGTGTGTGTGTGTGTGTGTGTGTGTGTAATGAAGTGAAATGCAACTAGTGCAAATAGAAGTTTGATACAGGATTTAAGAATAAGTGTGGCATAAATACTCACAAATGTCTAATATTGTATGCTGTTTACTTCTGTAAGTTAAACCTTAAAAATAAAGTTGAATGTATCAGACTCCTGTGCAAAGAAACTAACACTGGAGCTACAACATATGAAAACAATCCATTTCATACCAGACTAAATAGGTTATGTGCCATTGCCTTGTAAAGTACATGACATGCAAGTTCAGGTATGGTTAAGCAGCTAAAAATACTTCATTACTAAAAAGAAACATGCTCACTGTAGGACAAGGGACTTCACCCATGGTCCTCCCTGAAAGATTATGTGTGAGGATAGCAGTAACACCACTTCTGTTTATGGTACTAGAGAAGGCAGAGCTGCTTGTCAGGCGTTCAAATTGTTTCAGAAATGTTAACCTGAGTGCAACATGATGAATGTGAATTCTTAATGTATGCACCGTTTTCCCAATATTTAAACAATAATTGCGTCTCCTGTCTCTCTCACTGAGTGCCGCTGTTTGGATCAGGTATAAACACTTTTGCCTTTCACACTGCACATGACACAAATTCAACAAATTCAAGCACAACCCATCTTAAGAGAGGAGAGTCATGCGCACAACTAACACCGCTCTCTTGCCAGG